TCATGCCGAAAATAGTCTGTTACAACAGCAGACAATGGCAACACATGGGCAGTGGCATGACAGACCACTCTTAAAGACTGCATACCTCTGGAGAGGACAAGAAAGTAGACTAGTGTTATAAGCACACTTTAAGAAAAAGGTTGGCTTGGATTTTCAAAGCCAGCAAAGGGATTTAGCAATACAAATGTTCATTTTCCTAAATGACAATGAAAATCTCAATTTTAAAAGTTTTAAAACATATTAAGTTACAACATCATCTAGAAGCATGTATTTCAATACCAAAAGAAAGGTGCTTTCTAGGATGCATTTCTAAAATTAAATATTTCTTTCAAAATGATGAACAGTGGAAGTGTTCCCAGAGTCATCTGACCACAGAGGCAGCTGAAAACCATAGCTGATTGGATAGTATTTTTTAAGACTGCCGTAGAACCTGTGTATTATACAATGCTCAGCAATGAAATGGTTTGATTTTAAGTCATCAAATGGCTGTGGATTTCCTTTGCAACTCATCACATCCACTGACCTTTGTAAAGACTGTTCTTCATAAGCCTTTGAGATAGAGAACACACAGTATGTTGTGTTCTGTGTCATGTCAGTCATTATTCTCTCTTTGACATTACTTGCGTTCTTAAGTCAATATGTTCCAGATTAATGAGGCATTTGTTCTCAATCAAGAAGCTATTTAAGAATACACTTTTAATTTTAATGAGTTTTGTATGATTAATTATTTCTAAGACTTGCTCATATTTTTGGATAGTCAAAAGATGCAGGGTTTTTTTTCTTCTCATCAACTAGTGCCCAAATCTTGTGAATGTCAATGGTGATTATGACCCAGTAATTCATGGAAGTGAATTGTCTTCATACAAGGTTGTGAGAAATTTGCCTGTAACATTTTGCTGTGGTAACTTTCAATATTTATTGGTTGGTTGCAATGGAAATAATAGGTTGACACACAAGTGTGTTACAAAAATATGGATTAAGTTGATTTTTGTGTTTAAGAAGACTCCTTGTTTTACAAATAATCATCCTCTCACAATTGGCTCCTTACAAGAAAATGTACGGATTTCATCATTGCTCCTTCCTTTACATTTTGGTTTAATAAGTCTGTTCTTTTAAGTGAACTATCCCTTTAGAGCACTGGTTCCCAAACTTTAACAACCTGCAAACCCCTTTCACTAAAATGTCAAGTCTTGTGAACCCCCTCCTAAAACTGAATATTTCCAGGGATTTTCTCCCTTACCTCAGCATAAATTATAAAAGCAGTGATCTTGGAAATATAAAATTTGTTTTTATGACATGCTTATTACACACTATTAATTATTATTTATAATTACAGTATTTTTATTATATTATAAAAATGGCAACACTCTTCCAAGATCTCACTTTTGTAGCTTCAAAAACAACAAGGAGTCTGGTGGCACCTTAAAGACTAACAGATTTATTTGGGCATAAGCTTTTGTGCGTAAAAACCTCACTTCTTTGGATGCATAGAGTGAAAGTTACAGATGCAGGCATTATATACTTTTGTAGCTTGTATCACCTTTGATTAAGCCTGTTATAAGACAAGGCTCCTATCAGAGGCACCAGTAGAAAAAAGGTGTGTGGGGGCAAAGCCCCTGTGCACCACTGGACCGGGGGGGCACCACTGGAAAAGTAGGGGGGGCCCACGACGGCTGCCGGAAAAAAGGGGAGGGAGATGCGGGGGCAGCACGTGACCCTCGTCGCTCTCGCCCCCCCCCCCCACCTGGTGCCTCTGGCTCCTATGTTTCATCAAGGAGTATCAGCTGTGAAACCGCAGGAAGGTATTTAAGACGCCAACTCAGAGAGTTCCTCCTACACAAGCATTCAGGTCTTGAGCAGTCCAGGCAAACAACACACGTTACAACAAAGCTTAAACTTGTTCTTCATAATAATTTAAAAACAACACTAGCAGCCTATTTAATTTTAAAAACAGCCAAAAATATCCACCTCCCTTTCTATTTCATATAAGGAGTCTTGAAGTTTAAATCTCCTCAGTGTGATAGATATGCTTGCTTTGATCTGCTTAGCTCTTGGAAGTCCCCCATGCTGCCTGGGGTCCCTATGGACAGCTCTGTCCACCATTAGGGAATTTTTTTCCAAGAACCCCTTGTAACATTTTGTGAACCCCCAGGGGTTCATGAACCCCAGTTTGGGAACCACTGCATTAGAGGAAACTTTGTATGCTTGAATATCCATGCTATCCAAAAGATGGGCCAAATTGTCCCCTATGTGGGCATTCTCTACATGGGGGAGAGCAAAAGCCATGGATTTTCATTTGCAAAATTTGTCTCAGATTGTTTCATCAGGGGCAGCATTTCCCATCCAGTTCCCCCCTCACGATCCTAGCTGAAAGAACAAAGGGATCAGTCCTTAGAAGCAATGGATCTCAGGGGACCATCTGGAGACCAATGCCTCATAACTCTTCTTACTTAGTCCCATGGGAACACAGCTTTTACAGGTGCTGCCATGAACTCTACTGGTGGCTGTTACCTCAGATTCTGCCCTGGGGTGGGGGGGGAGGTGAGCTAATAAAGGAAGAGGAGATTCTGTCCCCCAAAATATGAGCTAATATAAGCCAGAGTCTGAATGAGCTCTCCCCTGTCATCTAGTAACAAACTGAGGGAAAAGACTTCAGGTGCAGACCATATTGCATAGACATGCCTACTCTGCCTAGGTGTTCAGCAGATGGAGTTGCTTGGTCAAAGTGATCAATTTTGGCTGTTTTGGGTTACAATTCATTTTAAAATACAAGTAACTGAAATTCTTCTCTGATGGATTGTATTTACTGAGGGACAACCTATCCTAAATTCTCAGTTACTGAGGGACGGTCTACATCAGTGGTGGGCAGCCCGCGGGCTGCACTGGCCCATCAGAGTAATCTGCTAGTGGGCCACAAGACATTTTGTTTACTTTGACCATCCGCAGGCATGGCTGCCTGCAGCTCCCAGTGGCTGTGGTTCACTGTTCCTGGCCAATGGGAGCTGCAGGGATGTGCTGGCTGCCGCTTCCTGCAGCTCCCATTGGCTGGGAATGGTGAACTGTGGCCACTGAGAGCTGCGGGTGGCCGTTCCTGCAGACAGTCAATGTAAGCAAACTGTCTCGCGGCCCGTCAGTGGATTACCCTGATAGGCCGTGTGCGGCCCGCGGGTCGCAAGTTGCTCACCATTGGTCTACATTCATTGCTATATTAGCTTTCCACAAGCTACTCTTAGTATAACTTTTTATCAGTGATGTACCCAAATATTTGGATGCTAATATTTTAACTGTATCACTAAATTTATTAACCTTAATTTGGGATATTGCAGATTATGTACTATATGTATTTTATGACTTTTAAACCAACTTTGTACTTTTGGATAATGTAAGCATTATACCCGGATGTAAGACATGCTTTCCTTAACCTGTGTACTGGATAATTTTAACATTAGCTTTAATAAAAAAAAATTAAATTTGAATACAAGGTTAATGAAATGTTATCCTTATTGTATGAATAAAGGGCAGCAGAACTGTACTTAGCCTGCCCTGACAGAGAATGTCATGCTAAACAGAAGCTCACTTGCTAACCAGGGGGCAGGGATGCCAAATCCAAGTGAAAATGAGAGGGGGTGGATACAGGTGTTCCTACCTGATGGTGTGGACTCTGCTTGAAGAGTTCTGGACACTATTTGACCCTCCCTCTCCAGCGTTTAAAGATAGCGCTGATTGGATGAAACTGGGAGTCCTTGTTTCTGTTCAGTGGTTACTGGAGGCTATTCCTTAGATCTGGTATGGGAATAGTATTGCAGGGAAACATAATGAAGAAGCAGCAGCATGGAGGTTCCCTGCTACCCAGTGGAATCATGTGAATGCATCTCTGAACTCTGGTCTTCACTAAGGACAACTAACTGTGAATGGGGTGCAGCAGAGGCAAATGTTTTCTTTTGTTATACATAGACTCAGTGCTTGTGAGCAGGGCCGGCGCCAGGCACCAGCTTACCAAGCAGGTGCTTGGAGCGGCCACTTCGGAGAGGGGCGGTACGTCCAGCTGGTTGGCGGCAATTCGGCGGATGGTCCCTCACTCCTGCTTGGAGCGAAGGACCTCCCACTGAATTGCCGCCGCAGATCGCAATCGTGGATTTTGTTTTGTTTTGTTTGTTTGGCTGCTTGGGGCGGCCAAAACCCTGGAGCCGGCCCTGCTTGTGAGTAAGGAAGTGTTGCCTCTTAAAGGTGCCGCATGGTGGTGTTAGTTTTCCCAGAGCCAGTTCTGTTTTGTATTGTTAAGGGGAATCCTGGCCTAGACATTGAATCCAGCCCTTGTTGCTGTCAACTCCACCTGGCAGAAAGGTTACACTAGTAAGTGGATGTGAGGTCAACATTAACTTAATTGCTAGCTTCCCATGAGATTGCCTGTCCTCTCTCATCCCTGGCCCACTCTCTTCCCCACCAACCCCTTCCCCACGGAGAGGTTTCACAGGGGTATCCATATAAAGATTTATGGTATAGAGAAGGGGGTGGGATGGCTCTGCAGATATGGCCATCTCCCCTTTCGGATCCTGTTTGCCTGCATGTGCCAGACTTTCATGCCTTCATATGAAGACAGACAGGATCATCTGATGATATGATTATTCATTTTATTAAGTGGGTATCATCTATTAAAATAGTAATCATATGAATGTTACAATAAAAGACCCCAAAGTGCTTGTTAGAGCTGCCTGTAGTTAGTGGTAGACTATCTACTGGTTTCTGACTGAAACTTCATAAGTTTTATTTTAAATGTACTGTGGACATTACAATACAATGCAGCTGTTCTTCGTGGCTGTTTGCATTTTAGACTTCCAGTGACAGCACTATAAGGAAGGAGCTATTTGTGTAAAGGAGTCCATTAGGCCTAATTTAGGGGCTATGGAAATCAAATCAGGTGATATCAGTGAATAGTTTTTTGTAACATTTAACACTGCAATAGACTTCACGTCCTCTCTTCTCTTTCTCTCCTCACACAGAATGCATTGTGAGAAGATGTCCCTCCAGAAGTGCTGTCTCTATAGGATATGTACTCAGACTACTTTGAATGTTCCTGGTATCTAAGGTGGCAATACGTTCCTGCAGGGCATAACAGGGCTGTGTCAGTGAAGTTTATAATAAAGGTGCCCAAGGGGCATATAAAAGATTCAGCAGATATTTAAAAGGGGGATCTCTGCTGAAACAAACTGTAGCACTTTAAAAATTGCAAAGAGCTATGGCATGGGGAAAAATTATGTTGAAAGACAATGGTGCATATGCAGAAGTTGAAATTGGGTATACCAGTGTTAGGGAAGCAAAGACTAATTACAGAGTGGTTATTGCTGCACTGAAGGATCTAGAAAAGCAAAGACTCCCTTTAAAATGATGATTTACAGAGGCATGACTGCAAAATATTCAGTTTTGTCCTCTGAATTACATGACCTCAGCCTGGATTCAAGTTTGGCCTTGCTTTGTAAACTAGTAGTGATCTGCACACATTTGGTTCATGACACCTGTATTCAAGAGGCAATCATCCTTTCTTTCTTAGGCATAATTGTAATTTCACAGCCAGTGAAATAACAATGCTGCCCCAGGAGGGAGCTCTTCCAGTAATACTAAGTTATGCTACCTATTACAACATGCAAAAATATTTTGTCAAAATTGGATATAAACTTTATTTGCTCTATCTAGATGTCCATTAACATACCAAACTTGTTGTGTGTGGGTACACATTTAAATTTGAACCATATTTGTTGAGGAAGGTCACATGGGAGTGGTTACATGATATTTTTCCGAAAATGGTCAATAAGTCTACTTCTAGTTCTAAGGAACCAGCAAACCCCAGACAGACCTGTGCATAAGGCTGTTCAACACAAACTTGTCCTGTGAGATCTCAATAAGAATCAAGTATGATGAAAATTGGATTAATTCCCAAACCTTTTTGAATTCCAGTGCCTACAAACCCTAGTGAACCAATTCTGACAAAAAGTTCACAAACTCTTATTGAACTGAACTTGGAAGGGTTCACACAGTGCTAATCATTGGCTGACCAGATGAAGGAAAGAGAAAAAGGTTGTCAGACCACTGAAAGGAAAATATAGCCAAGAGGACAAATGCACGTTGTAGTCTTTGTCCTGAGAGAAAAAGGCAGCAAATGGCAGGTTAAAATGAAGCAGTGGATCATCAAATTCTGGTGAAGAATAGAAAAATGGCAAGGGTGGCTTAAGAGAAGATGTTTATTAGTGAAGGCATGTATGTGTTATCCTTTTATGTGATTTGCTAAGTTATGCATATATTATTTTACAGATATTATAGGAGGGGCTGCTTTATGGAGGGGACCTGAAACTGGAAAGTGACAGAGAGAAACATCCCTGTGGCCTGTGAGAGACATCCAGGGACTACATTGGGTTAAACACTGATTTATTTAAACTGTAAATTTGTCCACCAAAGGAAGGAGGCTGTGGTAAGTTAAACGTCAGATTTGATTGTTCCTGAGGGTGCAGTTGGGAAAGGAATTCTTATAGGGCTTGATCCAAAGCAGACTGAAGTCAATGGAGAGACTTTTATTGACTTAATGAGCTTTGGGTCAGGTTCTCGTTGAGCAGAGTCCCAAGTATCCATCACAGCTGTGCTTTCAATAACACCATCTGGGAGATCTGCTTGTGGATACAGCAGGACTGACAATGCTAAAGTTCATGTTCTTCTTTTCCCATTTATAGAAGAGACATGACTGAATTTTTCAGGGAGTATTTGAGTTTTATTAAGCAGTTTTAATAACTCTTTAATAGGCAGACTATCCAAACCCCAATGAACCAACATTCCAATGATAGGAAATTCAATAATGCCTATGAATTTAGAATTTACTTTTCCCCAAAGTTCCAGTTGGCCAAAATACATATATGTCTCCCATACAATTCCAATTGTCAGGATTTATCCATATTTCAGCTTAATAAATGTCTGAGAGATGGGCCCTGTAGAAATATTTATACTTTTAATATTTGTATTGGTTTTATATCTATACAGAAAAATCCACAGCCAACTCCAATTAATGTGCATCTCCTTACACCCTCTTAATACTCCCAAAATCTCTATTCACAACAAAATAAAATCTTCTGCATCCTTCTCCACACAACACACTCATATTCCAATCAACCAACCCCAGTAGGGAAAGCCTGGGTGAATAAATAGTGATCTGAAGGTCAAAACTTCTGGTTCTGTTCAACAAAGTGAGGTTGCGGTGTAAACTCTAGATTTTCAAAAAATGCCCTGTCATTGGATCCATCAATTTAAACCAGGAAGCTGTTAGTTTGAGTACCTCACTTGATCTCAGCCTCTACTATATCACATAGGGGTAGTCTCTGAGTTATGTACCCAACATATCTAAAACAAGGTTTTATCAGTCAAAACCAACACCTTGAACTTCACCAGTCACAGAGCATGAGTGTAATATGTTCCCAGTGTGAGCTAAATATTTAGACTAACAAAGGTCATATTGAGTTAGACAAGTGCATTATTCTTTGTTTGTACTGACAACTGTAACTGTAATCTGTGTTAAACTAGACAAATGGTCAATTAATGTGTATTTCTTTTCAATGTCCCTTGGATAATGAATTGTTAAACTAAATTTAGACCAGAAAAATGAGAAAATTATAGACATGTCATTCCAGAACAAATACTCTTAACCAAGGAAATTGGTGCAATTGGGTTATAAAAGTAGAGCAGCAGAAATTGAAAATGCTGACATGACAGAAAATTATTTTTTTTTCTAAGTAAGCACAATATTAGGAAATTTACAATCTCCAGGAAATGCGCTTGTCTCCAAGGATGTCTTGCATGTCCTCATCAACATCTCCGCAATTCCACACTTAATTGCCTTCAGAATCTGTGGATGAATACAGGGTAAACATGTGAAGTTGATACATTTGCATTCAGAGACTCTAGGTTTGCTCAGATCTGAAACTTGGGGACTGTGAAAACAGATAAGCAAAAATGGAAGAAAATGTTTGAATGAATTCTGAAAAAGTACCTCTGCTATTTATGTCGGAAATGACATTGCTTTTCAGCAAGATATCTTCCATCACAAGACTCGTAACCAAAACTAGAATTAAAAAAGAGTGTTGGGCCAAATTCATTGCCAATGTAACTCCATTTACTTCAGTGATGTCAATCTAACTCAATGGACTTACACCAGGGATTAATTGTGCCTTTATTTATATTAATTTTTGCTTTTCAAAGTACCTCTGATTATTGTCTATCAGCAAGAAGCCTGACAGTAGAAAAGATTTAATTGATTATCACTTCAGGTACCACCTTCTCTCTGGTATATTATATGGTGATGGTAAAGAATCAAAGTCCTCTTCTTTTACACTGCACAAGAAACTTTATTAGAATAAAGGAAACAGTATTGTCCCTAATGCTACTCTGTTTTTGTCAATGCTTCAATGTAAAGCACTGTCTAGAACCTTCCTTGCTGCCCCACTCCTGCTTGGCATCTTGCTACAAACTTACAGAAATAATGCATGTACCCTTACACACTGTTTCTCAGATGTTGTTGTAGTTGATACTTGCATCAGGATCCTCCTGTCAGGGCCAGGACATGGGCAGCCTGTGTGCACAGGTCAGTTACCAAGTTATGGTTAGGAGACAAGTAGTGGACTTGGGGTTGAGCTGTGTCAGGATACCAGGAAGTCAGGGTCAGGTGCCAAGTTGCAGACCGGAAGCAAGTGGAAGAGCTGGGGATGAATTGGAGTCAGGAGCTGGAGTCTGGGGTTCATCGCAAGGCAAAGTCTGGAGCGGAAGCAAGCAGGCACTTGTTGCTCAGACAGCTCCCTGTGATGGCTTACTGGTTTATATACCAGTGTGAGACACTCAGTGAGCTGCAGGGGCTGCCTACTCAGGCCCAGCTGGGCAGTACTTCCTGCACCATCTAGATTCACAGGGTTCCCCAGCAGAAACCCAGCCTGAGCTTCTGATGAAAGTGTTGGCAGCCTGGAACTGCCATAGTTCCAGTCACACAAGTTCTTACTTAATCCTCCCCCTCCACAACTCCTTGTGGTGGTGCCAGTTCAGGCTTGCTGAGAGAGTTCTGTAGGACTCATCCCGCCAGGTCAGGGTTCCCAGGTGTGCTTTTCAGGGCCATTGCCTGCCTAGTCAATGAGATAGTACAGGTGACCACACGTCCATTGGGAATCGAGGATGGAATGCACTTCTTACTCCTCATGACCCTGGATTTCAACCAGTGGAGATGGGGGTGCGGTTTAGTTAGGGCAGGGATACTCAGTATAGGGTAAGGCTTTAGAAGGGAAATATGAAAAATTGGGTGTATTTTGGGGGACTGTGGAATCTGTAGTTTAAAGCTAACTGGCTTGCTCTGCTGATGTATCTGGAAGAGTCCCAGGAACTGGTGGTCCAGTTTCCAGGAGGGTCAACTAAGCTAGAGTTGCTTTGCAGTGAGCTGTGCCTTCTGGCCTACTGTGAATACTGGAGTTTCCTGTCATTGACGTCTCTTGTAAGCCTTCTTCACCTCTTCTAGGTGGTTCTTGAGCTCCTTCTGGATAAGATGGATCTGTTGGACCCAGTCGGTGCTGGCTGGGTTCTGGGAGGTTGCTGGTAGCACTGGGTAGAACTTGTAATTCACAAAGAAGGGTCTCCAACCTGGAAAGGCATGGTCAGCATTGTTATAAGTAAACTGCATACAACAGGAGTGTGGACCAGTTATCCTGGTGATAGTTCATAGACCATCTCAAGTATTGTTCCTGTAATTGGTTCACCCTTTCAGTTTGTCCATCTGTTTGGAGGTAGTATGTGGTGGAGGTGGATAGATGGATGTCCTGTAACCAGAGCATTTTGCACCAAAAGTGAGGGGTTAAATGTGGGCCTCAGTCTGAAATTATGTTGTCTGAAATCTGTGATGATGAACCACAGTTTGCACCAGCATTGGGCAGTAGTCTCAGCACAGGGCAGGTGATTGCAGGAGATGAAATGAGCCATTTTAATCAGACAGTCCATGACTGTTAAGACCATACTTATGTCCATTGGATGTTGAGAGTTCCACAACGAAGTCAAGGGGGATGACCAAGACCTAGCTGGAGTCTCCAGGGGAACTCAGGTGCCAAGAGATCTAAGGTGCCTGGGGCATCTTGGTGCAGTATGTGAACAAGGCCCACCCTAACTGCATTTGGTTCAAAGTTCAGGCTTTGCAGAGGTACTCAAGGTTCTTATTGTTGGTAAGGACCTGCACCAAGTGCAAAGCTCCCCAAGGTGGTGATGCCATTCTTCAAAAGCAGTTTTGATGGCAAGTAGCATTTTGTCCACTATTTCTGTGGGGGTGAGTTTTTGAGAGTAGTATACACAAGGGTGCAGAATGACTGAGGACTGAATTTCTGCAAGAGTACTGTCCTGAGGGCCATTTTGGACGCATCCAAGTAGATGATCACATATTGGTCCAGGATGTCCCTCAACACGCTTACAAAATGTTGAAATGTTGCAGGTGCATTGGTTAAACCAAACAGCATTACGAGGTATTCAAAATGCCCATATTGGGTACAAAAAGCCAGTCTTTCATTTATCTCCAAGTCTTATGTACACTAGATTGTATGCCCCCTGAAGATCTAGTTTAGTGATGATCCTGGCACTCAACAGGTGGTCCAACAGTTCCAGGATGAGGGACAGGCAGTATTGGTTATGATTCAGTGCACAATAGTTTATACAGAGGCATACTGACATCTTATTTTTCACACAAAGAGGACTGCTGGAGATGTGGGTGGCCAAATTAAGCCCTTCTGTGAGATTTTCCTGGATATACATGTGCAGTGCCTCCAGCTCCGGTTCAGATGTGTATATCCATCCATAGCATCTATTGGACAGTGGGGGTAGTGAATCCATGTTTTCCATTCAAATACATCCAGGTAATCTTGGTACTTTTGGGGAAGGCCAGGATTCTGGTCTGGAGCCTCTCCCTTCTGGTTATCCCCCACCGTCTAGGGCTTTACTTCCTACGGTCTTATCTGGGGCCCTTGGTGTGGATCACTGGGGGAGGGGTTAGTTGACTTGTTGCAGGCAAGCTTTCTGGAAATATTTGCAGGGGAAGCTAATGTTCCTCTACTGACAAAAAAAAAAAAAATACATGGGTCTTGCAGCTCCAACCAAGGAATGCCAATAATTACTGGAAAAAATGGGGAGTGGATTGTAGAATATCAGGGTTGGAGGGGACCTCAGGAGGTCATCTAGTCCAACCCCCTGCTCAAAGCAGGGCCAATTCCCAGACAGTTTTTTGCCCGAGATCCCTAAATGGCCCCCTTAAGGATTGAACTCACAACCCTGGGGTTAGCAGGTCAATGCTCAAACCACTGAGCTATCCCTCTCCCCCTCAAAGCATCAAAGCATATTATTTCCTGGTACCCTTCCACTACAGCCTCTAGGGGGATGGTATCTTGAGTCACCAGTCCCAACAATAGGAGCAACCCATCCATAGTCTCTACTTGGGGGTGGTTCCAGAACATAGAACTCTGGGGATGCCCAGGCTGTAGCCCCTTATTGGATCTCAGCTGGTTTATGTCTAGACCTCTTTCAAGCTGGGCAGGAGGCAAGGGTGCATCCTAGCATTCTACAATAAAAACAGATTCAACTGCTGTCAGCATGTCAGCATTTGTTCTCCTTTGGGGTCAGATGTCGGCAATCCAGGTCCACCTGCATAGCTTCAGGACTTGTTCTATAGGCTTTGGTGTAATGGGTGGACATGGAGGTATTGGATTATCCCTTCTTTCCTCCTTCTGCTCATGGAGGCAAGAGTCAATGCACAGGGCAAGATCAATAAAGGGCGCTAGGTAGGAGGGCTTTTCATTTTGGCCTACCTCATCTTTTACCTCCTCACTGAGTCCCCACCAGAACTGGTGTATTTGGCTACCTCACTCCATTCAACATCATCCACAAACAGTCAGAAATGAGTGGTGTAGGAAATGGCAATCCCTTGCCCCAGATGAAGCTTCTGGAGAGCAGCCTCTGCAGAGTGGATGCGATGTGGGTTGTCAAAGATCATTAAGAAGGCTTGCAGGAAGACGTCTGAGCCAGACAGCATTGGGCTGTTCTGCTCCAACAGGGGGAAACCCAGCTGAGTGCTTTGTCAGTGAGGAGGTTGACTACTAGTTCCACCTTTGTCTGGTCTGTGGGATATTTTCTGTGGTGGAGCAGGAACAGCAGCTTGCAGGTACTCCCAGTGTCAGAACTTGGGGGACAGAGGGCTAGCATAGGGTCTATGTTTCGGCAGCAAGCTGCATCACCTGGGCCTTTGACCAGGCTAACTGCTTGGATAGGGTCTGTGCTTTGGTTGCAAATTTTATAGCTTGGGTCGGTAGCATGAGGTTGTCTGCCTGCCGAAGGATGACTGCAGGTCCCAGGCCCTCGGGGGCCCGGTGGTTGGAGGGTAGCCCACCTCTTCCATCTTCTGTGGAGAGGTTGGATGTGGGGAGCCGAAGGGTCTGAGAAAACTCTCAAGACTGGGCTGTGGTTAGCCTCAGTGGGTAGCCTCAGTGGGTAGTGCTCAAGTCGGTTACCAAGTTGTATTCAGGAGACAAGTAGCGGAGTTGGGCTCAAGCCGAGTCAGGATGCCAGGAAGTCAGGATCAGGCACCAAGTTGCAGACAGGAGGCAGTAGCAAAGTCGGGATCAAACTGGGATCAGAAGCCGGAGTCTGGGGTTTTCAGCAAGGCACAATCTGGAGTGGAAGGAAGCAAGCAGTCTATGTTGTAGCTCAGACTGCGCCCTGTGATGACTTCCTGATTTATACACTGCCATGGGCCAATCAGTTGGGCTGTGGGAATCTACACTCAGGACCTCCTGGGCAGTACTTCTTCAGCTAGCTTCACAGGTTCTCCCAGCAGAAACCCATTGTGACACATGGCCAGAGAGGGTTAAGCATCCTGCAGGCTAATTGACCCAGATTCAACCTTTAGGGACATATTCGTAGATAATTGTTTGTGGTTTTGTGTGTTTACATATATATTGTTAGAGGTTAACAATGTAATCAAACAGTCCCTGTCTGTGCTGTATTCTGTTAATTCAGAGATCAAAAGGAAATCTTAACATTTAAATGAACTGTAAACATAGTGATATCACTGTATTAATCTCTCTTTAAAATGTATAGCAAATCACCTGTGAATGGTGGGAAACAGGCAATTGCCTTATGTTAATCCCTGTAGCTAATTACCGGTGATGCTTAGAAAATAGGTCTACTTCAAAGTCTCCATGATTGCCTATTGTTTGCCTAAGGATTCCGAGCTGTCAAAAGAAGGCCTGGAACTGTATAAAAACCTTGGGTCCTGATCCTTTTTATCTCAGATCTGCTTTATGCAGGGGAAGCTTGAGTCATAAGACTGAGATCTCCAGTCCCATATGGATTACCCTGAATATGAACATTGGACTATAATCTCTGGACTAATTCTGAAAGAACTCTTTGCAACTACAGAGCTCACCATCTCTACTATAAATCTGATCTCAGAACTGTACTCATGTCTGTATGTATACTGATCTTTTAACCAATACTCTCTCTCTTTTCTTTTTAAATAAATTTTAGTTTAGTTAATAAGGATTGGCTGCAAGCGTGTATTTGGGTAAGATCTGAAATATTCATTAACCTGGAAGGTAATGTGTCTGCTCCTTTGGGATTGGTAGAAATTACTGAAAATCCTATTCATCATGTAAGTAATCCTCATCATATCTGACTTGGGTGTCTGGGTGGAGGCCTGAGGCTGGGTTGCTTTAAGAAAACTGTGTTGTTGGCTTCTGGGTAACCAGTAAGGTATAATAGAAGCTGTTTGAGGCTGGCTTGGTAAATCTAAGTATTGGAATATCCGTCAATTTTGGGGATTGTCTGCCCCATTCTTTGCAGTTTGCCGTAATTAAGTAACTTCAGCGTGGCTCCCTTGGGACTCTGATCACACCCATCTTGAGCTTCTGGTGGCAATGTGTAAGTGTCAGTGGCCCAGGACCCCCATTGTCCTAGGTACTAGTCCTGCAGGTTCTTATGCTGCCTAATCTATAGGTAACCCGTCTAGCAGGTGAACTGAAAGGAACATCTCTTTGACAAATGCACCAGGAATTGTACTCGGCTTGCCTTACAGTTATCTGTATTATTGGTTTAAGCAAAATGAGTGGAGACTTAAAAAGACTTCTATACCTTGTCTACACTTGGAATTTCACACTCTTTGTCTAGCACCACTAGACAAACTAGTGTGAAGCAAACACAAAATGTGTCATGATGAAACCATATACAGCTGGTAAGTGTCTCTAGATTTCACGTCAGTAGTTTAACACTCTTTTGAGAGCAATCAGATCATTCAACTTCTTTATGTTCTTCTCAACTAAAGTGTAGTATAAAAACTTCGCAAATCTGGGCTAATTCTAGTTTCTACAGAACCCAACAAAACTATTGCTTGGAGGTCTAAATAAGATTGTTACTCTTCAGAGACAGGCTAAACAGGGAAGTGGTAAGACACCTGTGACTGATCTACACTTGATGCTTCCACCATTGATGCTACTAATGGGGCCGCTGCTAGATAAACAGTGCAAAAAGTCCTAGTAAAGACAATACCTTCCATCCCATGAATACTTACATGGGGAAAAGACATTGCCAGTGAAAAGTAGGACAAATTCATAAATGCAGTTTGTTGCTGTTTAACAGATATATTTGGCCTTAGGGACACATGTGGCTGCATTACTCTTCCAAAGTTCAAATTGAAGAGAAAATAGATTTTGACAGTCACTTCAGATGTAAGTGATAACAGATCAAAGGACTTCCTTTTACTGCAATATTTTCATCATTATGGAACTGAATCACTTTGGACTTTAGCTTGTGTTTGAAATCTTTACCTTTATAATAATTGAACTCTTTAAATGTAGCTCAGAGAACAAAGGTTTCTCTTTTACAGTTAAACTTTTAACCCTTCAGGTTGAATTGGTGGAGACTAGAGGAAAATCCACTGTTTTCTCACTGAACTTTTTACCCTTTGAAAAAAACAGAACAAGTTTAAAGTTCATACAGTGAGAAAGAGGTCTCTTCTGGGGATTACTGGTATTATTAACTTCCTGACCTCAGACAATTAAAAGGGAAAAGTGGAGGCAGTGTAGACTTTGACTCAACTTTGAACTTTTAACCTCTTGAGTAAAGTATTTAGTGTGGAAGGAGTATACATGGTAAACTCTCTCATTATTAACTTTCTTTAGACCTTGGACACACAAAATGTCAACAGTCATAATGTTAGGCCAAAATTATACTTTGTTTTTTATGTTTTATTTCTATGGGTATAACAGTTAAAATTGAGAGGAAGTATTGTTTAAGTAGAAATAATAAAGGCCACTATTTTCTAGGAAGTGGAACATACAGTAGGCAGACAAAAGGTAGAAGGAATCTTGAATCAGTCAGACTCTGCACTAGAGTTTAGTAATTTACCCTATGTTGCATTTTACCTTTAGGACATACAGTACACCAATCTTTCAGTGTTGCCTCTGAGCAAAATTTTCTTTACAAAATAGAAGTATTTTATCTCTTTATTCAACAGCTTCACTGGGGTTTACTTCCTCAAGCATTAAACATGGTGATACTCAGATGTCCAAGAGATTATAGATTTATTGACTAGGAAATAATCAGACAAGCAACATCAATAATTATATGCATAAGCACATAAATCACCTTTTCATATAGCTATCGCTCCACAAGAGGAAGAAATAAAATGCCATTGGGATTGAGGAATACTTGGAGAAATATTTCATATATGATATGCTTATCTCAATTAGACAAAGATTCAGCTTTGGTAAACGCTGGCTGCGATGCTACTTACTATGCAACTTTCTAGAGTACTCTGTGGGAAGCAGTAAAAGGTTTAGTTAAACCTTCTAGCAATAGTGTTATTCGGGTGGAAATTAGGTTAGACACTGTCAGGGGCCCACAACTGAATCCAGACCCAGATCATTGTCCTCAGCTGATTCAGTTAATGAATCTGGCCTACTGACTGGCTAAAGACTCCATATTCTTAAACCCTGCGGCAGGCCTGGGTTCCTGGCTGCTCAATAGCATCGGTAGCTATGTTTCTGGTTCTGCTTCCTGTCCCCTGT